CACACTGTTATTATAATGTATTGACACACAGTCCCAAGCTTGTTCCTAAATGTTTCAATCAAGAAAACGAATTATATGCAAACATTGGCAACGAAAAAAACAACTACAATTTGTTCTTTAACGAAATTACCTTTATTCAATACACCTGTATCTGTAAGTATGTTTGAACTTTTATGTGAATAATATGCTCAACCTTACTATTGGAATGTCAACGTTTGATGTAATACTCAAGTATGCAGTGTACTGACAGTCATTTTATCGTCATTCATATTATCAACAACAACACATCAAATTGTGTTTAATTCTGCTGCTTTGTGAATAATACCGACCATGTCCTAAATTGACAGCCTCCACGAAAAAGTGATATCGTGCGTTAACATAACGTATTTTGTGCTTTTCAATCATGTCAATGTATTTGTAACACGGGACATGTTTGTTTTAGTCTTCCCATCCAACAATATTTTGGTTTTATTCGAAATAAATCCGCTTTGTATAAATTTATGGACGTATGTACTTATGTTTTAATTCAGCTTATTGACCAATGATTTCACTGATTCATATTGAACTGACATGATGTAGTATTTACTGATGCAGCGGATGTCGTGGGTAAACATAACAATAACAAATATTTTCAGCTATTACATGACCATTTAGCGCCATAAAGACTGTGTCAGCGACAGGGTGGGTGATATACACTTACAGAGTTTAGTTGTGCGATTAGTTTTTCCTGTTCAGTGCTAACAGGTGCCCACAAGCCTTTCAAACTCCTGTATGTTAAAAGATATTTTGAACATGTGAAATTCAATTGTGCGTTTTACCAAATAGAGCTCACCACAAGCATATTCGCATGCTGGATAAACCAAACGTTAATCTATATCTAAACATAGATTCAAGGTTAAGCGTGCTTGATTTGATCCTAGCTACCAGTGATATTCCCTCCACCATATTAAATGCTAGGTCATATGTTGCATTTATGTAAACTGATGACTCATACAGCATATGTCGACCATCAACATATCATTTTGTTATATGTTAATTTACTTATGTTGTTTGTAGGCGTGGTGATAATTGTTGTAATGCCTACAACAAAACAATGACTGAATATTTAATGTCGACGACTGGGTTCAATAAACCACACGCCATATAAATTACATTGTGATTACAAAACTGTAGAAAGTCTGAGTCACTAACAACGTGGGTTGTCTCGCGTCACCAAGATTATTGTTACGCACATATGAATTCAAAACAGCTACATTAAAATATGGAATGCCCGATTGAAATGGAATTTCGACTATAAATCAATAACCACCAAATTGATATATAAATAAACAAATGAACTAGTACCAGTTAAATATTCGCGACAATCTTGGAGTGAATTGGTAATAAAATATGTTTAAGACTTGCCATCTAATTGCCGTATTTTGCTTTTGTGTATGAGTTTTACTGTGACGCATAGGGGCGAATGTTTTATATATTTAATTTCGTAGGCAATTTAGCTGACCCCTTACAAAAGTTTCCTATAGGATTCCTATGAGAATCTTATATAACAAATTCCTGTAGGATTCCTATAATATTTTGACACGTGTTTTCCTATAGGAATCCTATAGGACTGTGTGTCAAAATATTATAGGAATCCTATTGGATTTTGTCCTATAGGAATCCTATAGGATTTTGTGTCAAAATAGTATAGGAATCCTATTAGAATTTGTCCTATAGGAATCCGTGTCAAAATATTATAGGAATCCTACATGAATTTGTCCTATAGGAATTCTGCATATTTTTCCTGGAGGTTCCAGCTCTTTTGGAGAAAGAGCACATCAATCACTTACATAAATAACATTAGTTAAACAAGAGTATTTCATTGCTTAACATCTACCAGACATAAATTTAATACAATTGTAAGAAAAATATAAAAAAAGATAAAACTATTACCATAAATATATTGCACAACATTTCTTGAAATGCAATGAAAATATAAAGTTGATGACAATTTGAATAATAAATGTAATTCTCTCCACTCTGTCATTGTTTCTAAGTACTAGATTTTTTTCATAAAAAATATTTTATATTACCGAGTAATTCCAAAAAAACAAAACAGTAAACAATCTCAACCAGCAATTAAAAACTTGTCAGTCAATCAAGAAATGTACACTGAAATAAAATAAAAGTTTACTGCCTTGGAATAAAATGATGTACATAGTGAGTGATACACAGTATCCAGACAATTTAAAAAATAAATGTATAAAAAGTACAATTACAAAAATACTGGTATGCATATTGTGTTTCTAAAAAAAAGCACAGAACCCTCAATTCAAATTCATTGATTTTTAATACTAGTATGAGAGAGAGAGTCTCCATTTTGGGTCAGAAGGTTCAATTTGTGATAAAGAAATACAAAATAAATATTGTCAATGCAGTCTTCTGTGAGATATGTCATTCATAGGATTTGAGTATTGGACCTGTAATACAAAAAAGAATTTGTTTCAAATGTTTCATTAAAATATTAATTAAAATATTCAAAATACTTTATTTCACTTGCAATTAATTTTTTCTATTTTCGCTGAAGGGATAATTCAGTGAAAAAAAAACTCTAGCGAATATAACTGTTTTCCTGTATTTCAAAGTCACTCATCAAAAATCAGTGAAAATAATTTCCTTACAAAATACTCAAAAAGCCCTTTCAGCGAAAATTAATTTCAGCTAAAATAAAGTATTTTACAGTAGATAAAAAAAACTACCATTTACTGCATATGCACTATTAGATGCGTATTCCC